CAAGATCCAATTTGATGAAAATTTCCCCGGAGTAAATATTTCATTAAAGATGTTACGTTAAGGAGTAATAGAGGTGGGACTTAAGTAATTGTACCAAAATGACGTGAAGTAAAATGATGTATCTATCTGTTTCTTTTGAAATGTTACCACAACCATTAATATAGTGCTCTTGTTTTAGGCTGGCCATGATAGCGGGGATTAACGCGGGTGAAAAGGTCCCGCGTCGTAAACTATTATACTCTTGTCACGTGGTGACTTTTGGAAAGTGATTTATATTATGGACACCGCCCTACTTCTTATAATACAGACCAAAGAGACATTTCTTCCTCATTTTAGAATATCCTTTCGTCATGTCCAATGATATTTCTAAAATCCAAGAATTATGCCTCTGCGACATTATTGCCTGACGACAATATTTCTACATTTGTTTTCCGTTGCTACTTTTCTTAGTTTTTGGCTGAACCAAAAATATTCCACCGCTTTTTACAACAATTATGGAAGTACATCTTTTGAAAAGCTCCCGTCAACTAAACTTCCCAGTGAAGTTGAAAATTACACCGTATCAAATCACACAAAAAAACGACACCCCCTTGCCGAGCTATGCCTTCCAATGGGTTTTCGCGCAGAGCTTTGTCCAAGACTCTTCATGGGAGATAGAACCGTTGATGACCCCCTCAAATTAATGGAACGACCTGTTGTTTCGCAGTGCAAATTACCATTTCTTATCAAAGATTGTTGGAGACTGGACGAAGCACATGAATATTCTAATAAACCTGTTTCAGAGAGGGAAAAAAGTTATCCATTGGCCTTTGGAATTAAAATGCACCGCGATCCGGACCAAGCAGAACGACTTCTTCGCACTATATACAGACCACATAATGTTTATTGCCTTTATGTTGATGGGAAAACCTCAAAAATTGTGTTCAAAATCATGAAACAGATCGGAAGGTGTTTTAATAATGTGTTTGTTGTTGAGAAACGTTTAAATGTCGTGTACGCAAGTTACGCACACATGCAAAGTGATCTCCAGTGCATGGAAATTCTAAGTAAGAAATCCAAAATCAAATGGAAATATTACATTAATCTTACAGGACAGGAATTTCCAATAAAAACTAATTTAGAAATAGTTGAAATATTGTCTTCCTTGAATGGAGCCAATGACATTGAATCGTATAATACACCGCAGTTTTTAAAATGGCGATTTGAAAAGAAATATTACACTAGTAATGTAAACTTGGTAGAAACTTCAGATATTAAGGAACCGTTTCGATATAATATTGAAATCAGCAAAGGTAGTGCATATGGTGCATTTTCAAGGAATTTCGTCGATTTTCTCTTGAGTGATCGCATAGCGAATGAATTCATTCAGTGGTTGAACGATACATATTCCCCAGAAGAAAATGTCTGGGCGACATTAAATACCTTCCCGTGGGCTCCGGGAGGATATGAAACAGAGATTCGACATAAATATGGAACATTTTTGTCTCGTGCTATAAACTGGGAAGATGATAAACCTAAATGTCACGGAAAGTATGTCAGAAGTGTCTGCGTTTTTGGCATCGGAGATTTGCCATGGCTTGCTAGTAGGCCTCAATTAATTGCCAACAAATTTGATTATCATTTTGATCATCTAGTATTAGACTGTTTAGAAGATCTGCTCAGAAATAGAACGAATGATCCGTCCGTGCATAGATTAGACTGGTATTACTACCGCACCTTGCCCCAGGCCAAAATATTTACAAAATTTGATCCAAAATTAAGTGCTGGATATTTACAGAAAAAGAAGGAGGAGTGGTTGAAAAATCAAACTTTATCAATTGAACCAATCAAATTAAAACGAGGACAGAAAGTTAAATTTAAATATCTTCTTCCCGGAAGCTCAATTCAAATGTACACAGTGCCTAGATAAAAAACCTAATAAAAAATCTGCGCCAAAAATAATTTTTTTTTCCTATACACATTGTAGTAAATTGTATTTATGTGTACATATGAATCTTTTTTTTTTTTGTATGTTAATAGTTTGTTTTTTGATTGATTAATGTTTTATGTTTCCCTGAATAAATCAGATGCCACGGCATTATTTTTGTCTGACTATATATGTCGCTGTTATCCTCCAAAAAATCGAGATTTATATCGCATTGATTTGAATTTTATTAATATTCATGAGGATGCGCATTGGTGGATAATACTCAGGCTGGATATAATGACTTCTATAGAATATACTTCCACAGAATCCACAATGGAAAGAGGTACGAATGATATGTTACCTAAGTCATGAGTTTCTTTGTAAATCTTGTAAGTCATGACATTTATTATACCAATAAACAATGTAAACAAGGAGATCGGGTTGACATTTGACCTTGTCTACTCTGAATATGAATGTCCAATGTATATCGAGCGTGTGTGGCCAGCTCTTTCACTTTCACAAGTAACTTTGAATAATTCTTTTAGAATTTCTTCCCATCTTATATTCATTCTGACATTTAGACCTTTCTTTTTCCTTTCCCTCTTTTTTGTATTTAAATATATTTCTCAGAAATGTTCAGGGAAGAACCGCTGAACTTTCAAATCAAAGTTCTGCTTTTTTTTTTTTTTAATTCAACTATGATTCCTTTATGTTGATAAATTGTGCTAATCAATTTAGAATATGTCAAAAAAAAAAAAAAAAAAAAAAAAAAAGAACAAGCATCCTGAGAGTATTTGTATAAGCAATCCCTAAAAAATGAATTATCTTAGCGGAACAAAATGCAAACTTGGACTCTGTAACATCATTCAAGATACACTTACTTACAAAATATCAGCTCAATATAGGAGAGAATCTATAGTCTGTCCCACGTGAGCGCACTCACCACACTTTAAACAGTATTACATAAAACAGAAATTCAAGAAAACTAAGTGAGGCCGAAAGACAGATGGACAGAAAACCCAAAGTTTTCTCCGGTTTCACCATTTTATGCATTAAAATCTTAAAACAATATACAGAAAGTTTTATATAATACTTATAGTATCTTGATAGAGCGAGCTTAATTAACCAGAGAAAGATGTGTCAATTTACAATGTTGCGGAATGAACATCTTATGCATCAAAACATGTACTCATATTGATGAATCAGAAATTCTGTCCTGCAAATTATTTAAGGAGGTTGGATCCTGCCATCAAAAGTAATGAGAATTTTTTATCAAGTATATTTTTAGAATTTATACACATAGCTTTATTAAAAATCAAATCAAAAAATGGGGGTCAATGCGCATCTTTTGGCGCTACAGAGCATTTATTTTGACCTTTTTGCACTGTAAATACGTCTTACACATAAATCAATTTTTAAAGTTTTTTCTTCAATATTTTTTGTTCAAATTAATTATGGTGAACAAACACAGTCTTATTTCATCTTAAATAGACACATTAAAAATTGTAACAACGAAGATATTTTCGAATTACTCCGCATGTTCAATTATTTGACCTTTTTGCACTCAAACATTTTCATTTTTCTGGCATTAAAATTTAACAAGCAAAAAAATCATTTGAAAGTAATGACATTTTATTGAATTTAAGAAGAATGGTTAAAAGTATCGTATATATTCAGAAAAGAAAATTAAAACTGGGAGTCTGTGATGTTAATTTTTAGATATTACTAAAATAGTGCTAATTTTAAGCTTAAATTAGGGCTATTTTTTTTTCTTCATTTCCACAATATATTTGCTATATTTATCAAATATGATGATAGAATTCATTACAGTTTATTTAGTAGATAATTTATGACCAGTATAAAACAGTCCACTGCACAAAATAACTATGTGTGCAGACTGCATGTAAAAATAGGAATCCAAACTTAATATACTTTAAATACTTCGAAAGAGAAAAAATGATCATTTTCTTCTAAAAAACCTTCCGCCACATAATATAGTTCCTCACTTAATGTTTTTAGTATGGAATTTAATCATGGAGTTTTAACTGAATATAGTTAAATTGGCATTGTAGAATCCAAATTTCTTGCAAGATTAAAAACATTATGCAGAATTTTTGAAATATAGATTAAGATAAGAATCTGCTCAAAAGCTCAGGAGCGAACTTCGTTAATTGACATATGATTGCAGTGTTTCCAGTGAATTTTTGAACAAAGTGATAAAAATCCATATTCAATATTTCTTTCTTTTTTACGATATCTATAATTCTATATTATCTTAAAGTTGGTATTTCATGCAATTACAGTAAAATACTGTAAATCACATTTTATTCGCGAGAACTTTTATCAATTTTTTCGCGTAATTATGCGAGGTTGTATGCCCGCGGAAATTTAATGATTTAAAAAAAAAATTATTTGATTCACGTTTCAAATGTCATAACCAACATTAATTCGGGGCCAGTAAGTTAAAAAAAAAGTCGGGAAAGCAAAATCGCCTAGCCAGTGAATATCCTAAGGCCTACAGAAATTTAAAGTTCAGTTGGATTTTACAATTAAACATTTTACAATTGGATTTTACAATTAAAAAATATAACAACTAAGAGTCATTGAAACTTTCCCAGAGCACCAAACATTCAGCCGTCAAGACCAATAAACTGGAGAATATTGAACCAATGATAACCTCGAACCAATGATAACATCGTATAAGTATTTCCGTTCATTCTTGATTACAGCAGTGTATGTAACATGTACGTATCTTTCAAGTTTGTCACCAGGCCTGACCAGGGGATGGTCTGATAATTTAAAACAAAAGTTTTAAACGAATCCACCTTTCTGTTGAACTGATATTTGTACAATTTGAAAAGGACTAACAGAAATTAAATTAAAAAGACCTTGTAATGTCCATAACTTTAAAAACTCATCGATCTAGGCCTTGTGTAAATAACCATGTCAATTTTATGAAATTATTAGCGTGGGATTGTTTCCGGCTTGTTCTGGAGAAGTTACAATTTCGTACATGTATTTAAATATTTGAATAATTTCCGTCAAATATTCAACAAAAATAGCATATACATGTACATGTATTTCATACATGCACACGAATTTGTAGAAACTGAGACTTTCGGCCGTTGTCAATGTGTCTTGTTTTTCAGCTCTGAAGTTGCCAAGATACAATCATAGAAACGCTGATAGGGCCAAGAAACAATCATACACAGATAGAAACAATCATACACAGATAGGGTCAAGATACAATTATACACAGATAGGGTCAAGAAACAATCATATACAAACAGGGTCAAGAAACAATCATACACAGATAGGGTCAAGAAACAATCATAAACAGATAGGGTCAAGAAACAATCATACACAGATAGAAACAATCATAAACAGATAGAAACAATCATAAACAGATAGAGACAATCATACACATATAGAAACAATCATACACAGATAGAAACAATCATAAACAGATAGAAACAATCATAAACAGATAGAAACAATCATACACAGATAGGGTCAAGAAACAATTATACACAGATAGGGTCAAGAAACAATCATACACAGATAGGGTCAAGAAACAATCATACACAGACAGGGTCAAGAAACAATCATACACAGATAGAAACAATCATAAACAGATAGAAACAATCATAAACAGATAGAAACAGATAGAAACAATCATAAACAGATAGAAACAATCATACACAGATAGGGTCAAGAAACAATCATACACAGATAGGGTCAAGAAACAATCATACACAGGGTCAAGAAACAATCATACACAGATAGGGTCAAGAAACAATCATACACAGATAGAAACAATCATACACATATAGAAACAATCATACACAGATAGGACCAAGAAACAATCATACACAGATAGAAACAAACATACACAGATAGGACCAAGAAACAATCATACACAGATAGAGACAATCATACACAGATAGAGACAATCATAAACAGATAGGATAGAAACAATCATAAACAGATAGATACAATCATAAACAGATAGAGACAATCATAAACAGATAGGATAGAAACAATCATAAACAGATAGAGACAATCATACACAGATAGGACCAAGAAACAATCATAAACAGATAGAGACAATCATACACATATAGAAACAATCATACACAGATAGAAACAATCATAAACAGATAGAAACAATCATACACAGATAGAAACAATCATACACAGATAGGGTCAATTATACACAGATAGGGTCAAGAAACAATCATACACAGATAGGGTCAAGAAACAATCATACACAGATAGGGTCAAGAAACAATCATACACAGATAGAAACAATCATACACATATAGAAACAATCATAAACAGATAGGACCAAGAAACAATCATACACAGATAGAAACAAACATACACAGATAGGACCAAGAAACAATCATACACAGATAGAGACAATCATACACAGATAGAGACAATCATAAACAGATAGGATAGAAACAATCATAAACAGATAGAGACAATCATAAACAGATAGAGACAATCATAAACAGATAGGATAGAAACAATCATAAACAGATAGAGACAATCATACACAGATAGGACCAAGAAACAATCATAAACAGATAGAGACAATCATACACATATAGAAACAATCATACACAGATAGAAACAATCATAAACAGATAGAAACAATCATACACAGATAGAAACAATCATACACAGATAGGGTCAAGAAACAATTATACAAAGATAGGGTCAAGAAACAATCATACACAGATAGGGTCAAGAAACAATCATACACAGACAGGGTCAAGAAACAATCATACACAGATAGAAACAATTATACACAGATAGAAACAAACAAACACAGATAGGACCAAGAAACAATCATACACAGATAGGGTCAAGAAACAATCATACACAGATAGGGTCAAGAAACAATCATACACAGACAGGGTCAAGAAACAATCATACACAGATAGGGTCAAGAAACAATCATACACATATAGAAACAATCATACACATATAGAAAC